TACATTCACCACTGATGTTTAAAAAAAGAAGTTGCAACGTATGATTAGTCAAAAGAACTGAACAGTTAGCACAGGTAACTTTTGATAAGGAAATATGAAACCCTTGTTTAAGTATGCTCATGCTCACGTTTTTGCTACCCAAGTCAAAAGAACTGTTCCTCCGAATAATAATCCCTGGCCCAGGCCAGCTCTTCTCTATCATTTTATTCTGTTTCAGCAATAATGAATCCCAGCTGTCAGCACAAGGCACACGACTTCCCGGAGGAATGTCTTCTTCTCCCGCGGTGTTGTAGCTGCCATTCCTCCCTGAAGGTGGTCTTACATTTCATCCAACAGTCTCTGAACTCATCTATCGCTCCGGTCTGCCGCTGCTTCTACCATTTGGTTAGGTCATGCTCTACTTCCTGATGCTCATTCCTCACAATATTGATAGTGTCTCATTAGGATTTCTCTGTAATAGTCCTAACTCCTGAAGGAACAGGGGAGTGTGGGAGACTGAACGTAAGTGAAGGTAGGAATGAGATTTGCAAGGGTTTGTTTTCTTTCTGCTTTTCCCTTACTTCCTATTAAGCATTGCAGTTGTTCATGCTGTTAGTTCAATGGTTCAGACTATATCATTTCTCAAATTAGCAAAGTCCAAAGGCTCAGTCTTATCAGGAGGTCATTTAATAAATAAACCCCCCCCCCCCCCCCCCCCCCCCCAAGTTTCTAGACAGAAGCAATGAAATGTTTTGCAGCTGATTAAGAACTCCTGCTCCTCCTGCCTCTTCCAAGTGATATTTATGAGTGAAATTGCTTGAGGAAAGGGGGCCCGTGCATCAATGGAGCCCCAGGGATCCATTTTTGCAAGGTCCTGAACACCTTCAACGCCCATTGACTTTAATACAATTTCAGGGGACCACGCAAAGGGGATTTAGTGGTGCACTGGGACCCGGGCAGGACCTCCATCCATTGGTGACTTTCACTCTGACTGCAGACACCGTCTCTCTTCCCCTGTCTCGGTTCCTAGTAACTGAAAAAGATCTCCCTTCATCAGAGTCCCTGTACTTTCCCTTTGCAAGAGCTTGGGAAATTCAGACATACGTTACATAGTGCAAAATCTTGACTGTGTATCTCTGCACATTGTGCATTAGGTCTTTAATGTGCTATCTTTAAAAGAAACTTAAAGGCTGATTATTCACTATGAAAAGTGGAAATTTGCATTCAAGACCATTGACTCTGCCTGTTTCATTATGTGATTTACTTTACATAAAAAGCTGGCTTAAAAAAAGCCGTCCAGATTAAAGCCTCCGTCATCGATAGGTACATCCTTTATGTGGATGGTCGCTTGCCTACTGGTAACAGAAGCACACTGAATAAATATGTGAAATCTGGTCCCAGCTTGTTTGCCTAGGACTCAATCCATGCAGTCACAGCAGCTGGGAGTCGGGAAAAAAAAATGAAACAATTTGCTTACTTCACTACTGTAGCAAATGACTGTGTTGACAAGGTCACCATCATCCATGCCACAGCCAACTTCTGCAAATCTCCCAGCATTTGCCTGATGACGTCTGGAAAAACCTCATTAAGTATCAGGCTCATAATTTTATCCCCTGGTCTGTTTAATAAGCAATTTATTTTTAAATTAAGAGTTCAGTATGTTTTCAATTTTATGCAAAAAAATGGTGTGCTTTTTTTTTTTTGGTTAATGGTAGGCATGGCTGTCCTTACAACAATTGTATGATAAAGGTAACTCTTCCGTCAGGTATCAAATAATCCCTTTTGTTATCAGAAGCGAGTTAGTCTATTGTTTACAAAATAATCGATCAATAACTTTTATTCTGGATCATACTGTCTCAGTAATAATCAGTATGATGTAGAGATAATTAGTGGTTATTATTTAATTTAAACAAATGTAGAAAAACTTTTAAAAGGTGTGCATTGAACTAGTAAGATTATTAACATTCCAGATATTACTTGACATATTTAATGTGCTCAGTACAAATACAATTTTTGGGAAACCTTTGTTGATCAAAGATGGGTTTAATCATTTCAATGTTTATGGATTTGTTTCTAAAATATTTTTAATTGGGTATTATCAGGCTTTCTCATTATAATTCTGTAGTCATTAGCATTTCAATACATTAGATTTCCAAATCTTTTGGACATAAAAGTTTTTTTTTTTTTTTATCATGGATCTAGTAATCTTTTCTTGCTGCCACTATTTTTCAATAATTTGATTAGGTCTTACAAGAAAAGCAACAGCAACCACAAGGGATTTTGCTAGTAATGATACACTATACATTTCTTTTCCAAAAGCAGCTCTGATGCCTTTGAAAGTAATTTGCAGTTTCTTATCTGTACAGAATTAAGGAGTAATATTGTCGCATTTGTTATGTTTAGTGGAACACCGTGTCATAGAATTCATTTAGAGAATGCTTGGAGCCTTGTATTACAGGACCGCATTTTCGACTACAAAAGTGAATTTTTGAATTTCTTAGTTACTTTTGGCAATAATAACAATTCCCAAAGATGGATAGGTCAATAGTTTAATAATTTGCTAGTGAAATGTACATTTTGCACACTCCTAAGCATCGTTCTAGTTTATAATTCAGCAATCTGCAGTTTATATTCCTATTGCAAACACTTATCTAGACATTTCAAACTAAGCCTGAGCACATTATGTATGTTTCAAGGCAAAGGCATAAATCCAATGTGATGATCTCTTTTCCTGGCAAAGTTCTCACCTACTTTCAATACAACCAAAAACAGCTTACTGTTGATCATTTCAACGTAACTCCTTGTAACAGTCACCATGCCATCACAGCTAGGTATAAAGACAGCCCTTGCGGGGAAAATGCTGCCTATTTGATGACATTTAAAGCTTTAAAGAATCCCTTCCAGATACTGCAGACAATCCTCATGATCACTCATAGGCTATTGGTGTTAATGAATGAAACCAGAGTGATTAAAACCCAGGCAATATTGCCATTAAAACTAGTCGAACAATTTTATGGGCCCGATCTTGCAAATTGTTATTCATGTCAGCAGTTTCATGAGCTGCAACAGAACTATGAGCGAGAGTAAGAGCTACTCCCACGGATGAGCTTTGGGTGATTCTGCCCTATAATTGGGGGAATGACCCCCATATTGACTTCAACAATGTAAAAAGTGAAAACCAATTTAAACGCTACACTGCTATCTTACTTCCTCTTTTCAGATCCTAACGTGTCATAAGAGAACGAAGGCATAAAGCTCCTTTAACTTTTAAAATGGATATTACTATGCAAATATAAGCAGATAATGCTGTTTTAGTAGAGGAAATAAATCATATGTCATTTATTAAACCAACAGTAAGGTACCCGGACTATATTATTACAATAGAAGCATAGAAGACCAACAGTTGTACAGTTGAAACCCTTTCGCAAAATGTCTATGTTCATCCTCAGATTTAAAGAAGTTTAGCGTTACGATGCCTTCACAATGGTTGCTTCTTGTTAATCTTCCCCCTTATTAAGGCTAAATGATTTTAATTAAAAGATAAAAGTACTGTTAGAAAGTTTTATACCACACACTGTTTTATGAGATTTTAAACTGAAAGACATACATTACACCTGTCTGCGACTCATAATGGCTTCTCAGCAGGGAATGCAGAACCACTTACAGTACATAAACATTTAAGAAGGAGAATGCTAATACACTGAAAGAGTTAAACATCGGTAGCAATCTATCGAAGGAAGAAGTTTCAGAAAGTCCACACTCTGGGAGAACATTCACCATGTGAGAAAAGCCTGGCATCCTTGTTAGTCTGAAGTTCATTTCATTCGAAAACCCAAACCGTTAAATGAGATCAATAGTATCTTAAGAAAAACCGCCATCTTCCTTCGCAGGTAAAGGCCAGAATAAAAAAAATAATAATAATAATAATTAAAAATAATCCAAACAGGTTGCTTTACAGGCAAATTTACATACCGTCTCTTTAAAACACCGCATGCCCAAAAGCCTTTTGGGTTTGGAATGTAGCGCTGCCTCGAGTATTTCACCGAGCCTCTAAATATCACCAGAAGCTATTTGAAACAATTCCAGTTGAATGAAACTGTTTGAGCAGAGTGCCTCAACTTAGCTCGTAGAACTGGAATTTCAGATAAACAACAGAGGACAGGGAACAGATTTTTTTTGTTTAAACATGTCCTTTAGTTATGCAGCTACAAGGTTTCTGACGAACTTAAGACCAAACAGAGAGAGAGTGCGATTGTCATCAGAATAAGCAGTGTGCTTAGATTGACGCTTCTAGGGAGGGCGAATGAATTCTCTGCAGATATGTGACTGGTGGAGACTCCTGCTGTGTTGTCTTTCCCAATAGCGTTCTGCAAAAGACAATACACTTTCCTGGGTCACTGTTAAGCATTTTCATTATACTGTAAAATATTTAGACTGACTTCATAACATTCATCTTTTGTTTGTCAGCCCCTTGCCCTCTAGCATCATGCATTTCCCTGTCCTAAATTTAAATATATGAGGGGCATAAAACAGAATATGAAAAAGACAGCGGTATAAATATGGGCTTCGGTTGTAACACCCACGGCACTTTTAGGGGATGCCATCAGCATAGTTAGGCCAAAGAAATAAGAGTAAATAAAAAAAAAAAATGACACTCTGAGAGCAGGCCCATCTGGAAGGTCTACTCTTTTGAGAGAAAGCAGCATTTTAAAGAGATCTGTATTCAATGTGGAAATTCATTTCTACAAAGCAGATGCTACACTTGCAATGGGGCCCATCTTCTGCAGTCAACAGAAAAGACTGATCAAAAACAAAGCACTGCTGGGATTGCAAGAGCCAGTGGGACCACCATCACAGTAGCTTTATGCTTGGGCCCATCAGCACTGCCACTATCTATTTCCGTTCTTTTGTCATTTTTTCCCTAGTTATGCTTTTCCTCCTCCAATGGTGCTGCGGTGACATACTATAGGCAGCCTTCACGTGCAACTCGAGAACAACAGTGGACTTGACAGAGTATATGGGCAGGGAATGGGTAGGCACATGAAGAGGGGAGTATACGAGCAGTAGTAACCCTCTGCTTGACCCCAGTAAGTGGCTAAGTAATACCATAGGTACTACTGTCAGTCAAACCAGTATGGGGGAAGGGAGGGGAACTAGCCTTCTCAAAGCAGGAGGGACAGGGTGGGCCAAAAAGCCCATCGTGGATGGATGTGGCAGGCATAGCTCAGACACGATACCTGCTTAGAGTGGGGGGTCTCAGTTTCTACTGTACTGAATTCTCCCCACAGCCCCAGGAAGAACGCTGGGGTAAGTCTCCACAGCTCTCCTTACTTGCAATCAGTCAGTTTATCGGTTCCTAACTAGCTAACAAAACTAAGACAGTCTTCCTTAATAACTGTGACATATTAAGAGGCAACATATACCTTTACAGCTGCAATGCAATGTATTTTAGGGACTACTGAAGGAAAGCAGGCCTCTTAGTCTTTACAGAAGTTCATGTACCATGCTATTGGACTTTACTTATGTCCAATTAAAAACAAGGTGTGATCTAAAGAGCTGAGACTGCAACATGGAGCGCTCATTATCTGGGCCAAAAAGCCAAAAAGCTTTGACCATCTGACATTTATTTAGTGGCTATAACAGTGGAGTTGTTGTTTGGTCTTCCTCCAAATGACAGCTCCCCTGCCATGCAACTGCTGTTTCTGGCACTTGTGCAGTTGCAGTCTTATTCCACGTTCAGTGTGGACACACGTGTGCAACTACTGCATGTGCTCAGTAGGCTGTGCTGGCTGGACAGGTACATGCATATTTGGTTGGACCTAAGTCACAAAACGGTGGCAGCAATAGGGCATGCCCTTGTTTTAGTTCAGTAGCCTAGTCGTTAGGGCACTTGTCCAGGAAACAGGAGACCATGTTCTAGACCTGGCTAAACTAGAAAGGACTTGAACCTGCATCTCTCCAACATCACGGCATAGCACCCTACCCACCAGGCCATAGGTTGTCTAGGCCCCTCCTCGGTCCTTCTTTTGAAGCTGTCCCCTAGAAGCCAAGAGACAGTGCTTTGTGGGGCCAGGAGAAGGAGTGTAAGCTAGAGGGTGATTGGCATAAAGAGATGGATACTGCTCTGGAAAGAAGACAGGCCTGGGTCTTTGTTCCCAGTAGAGCAGATGCTTCTCCAGTTCTTTTAGCCAAAGATTAAGAGCTTGAGAAGGGTTTTCTTAATGACTGCTCTGCAAACTAGTGGCTGGAGCACTGTGCTAGCAAGTGGCAGAAATACTGGTTCAAACCTTCTCCCTGGGGCAGGGGCTTCGAACTTGGCTCTGCTGCTCCCTGGGGGAGTGCCCTAACTACTAGACTACCACATAGGAAAGGCACGTCTCCCTGGCTTTTGCTGGATTTAATTGCATGACTTACACTCAGGTATATATACACATGGAGCCACACACCTGCTTGGCCAGGGGGCAGTATCCATGTAGACACTTGTGTATCCACACTGTATGTGGACTAGGATCACGAACACTGCATTAGTGCCAAGAATGATAGCTACGTAGTTTGGGTAACTGCCAAGTGAGCATGTCGAATGAAACAGGATTCTGCCCCAGCTTTGCACACAGTAAAAACACCATCACAGTTCCACTAATGGGACTGCCCAGAGTCTCAGTAGAAAGACTGCAGACTGATAGGCATGGAAACTGAACTAATCTCTCACCTCTGGGGGTGGTCCCCTACGGGTAAGAGTTCAGACAGCCTGGCGGAAAAGCAGAGGGGAAGGCTTCTCGTCTCCAGGGGCTGTCAATCTGCCTCTGGATCTATTACAGGAGTGGCATTTCATTTACTCTAAATCAGTCTTCTGTCAGCCATAAAATGAAGTCTACTGTATTGCTAGGTCTTGGTAAATGCCATATGATTACATGTTCCTGCATATTATTAACTAATTACACTTCCAAGATGCAGCAGTAATTACCAAGTAACCTGCAAAATCACGTACTACATGGTAATTAAAATGTTATTACATCACCACTGTATGGTACAAAGGTAATGGCTACCTTGGGCCCAATTCTGAGCTCCTGATTCAGGCAAAGCTCCTTTTATTATGAGAACTTGGCACAGTCACGATCAGATCAATGGTAGTTTTGTCTAAATAAATACTTCAGGAGTTAGGCTGGGGCTGCTATAGTAGAGTGATATTTCTGCTCCAAAAATATAAAGTACTATTTGAATATGTCTCACATTCTTACCTCGTAACAGAGGTCGGTATCGACAGATACATTGGATTTTTGCTTCTGTACCTACAGACAAATGCAAAAATTATTCAGTGCATGTTCTTATACACATAATACAACAGACAATTCTGCTTGACTAAATTCTGCCTGATTGGTTGGCTTCGTAGTTCTATGACACTATGATAAATGATTATGAATCACAAGGAAATAACAAAACCACCTTCTAGATGTAACAGCACCATTTCAAACAATTTGCAGTTCTAATCCATGCTTAGAATTTGCAATAAAACTTTGAAGCAGTCTATAAGACTAAGAGTTTTGAGGCACAGCCCTTACAGTGAGCAGTGTCATATAAATGCCTATGTATGCTCTCTCACTCCATTATATATATTAAAAAAAACACAGTTCTGTAGAGTATATGTAAAAAAGTCATGTTTGGGCCTCATGGGGAGATACAGAATTGTGCTCTTCAATAAATATTAACTAGGACTTGTGCACTTTAGCTAGGAAATCTCGATTTTTGACTACGGCACTTTTAATACTTATGTAAAAACACATCCTTTGAAAATGTTTTATTTCTACTAATATTTAGAATTTCCTTTCAGATGTTAAAGTGACTGGTAAAAGCATATATTGGGTCTTCGCTGCATTGCAGTCACAGGATCTGTTCCAGATGCCTATAAGACTTTGCAAAAAGAATGTCCCTCAACCTATGTAACTATAAATCAAATTGAACAGTACATTTACATTAGGTTTACTGATTTTTAAACAAGGGAACATTTTAGGTGATTTTTAGGTCTACGGAAAAAAAGGAGCCTGCAAAATAAAAAGAACTGAGGATCCCTAAGGCATTTCTTGTAGTGGTAAACATCTTCTATCTGTTACTGACTACTGGCCCTGTCCCTGCCCCATTACCCAAGTAAGCCATGCTTGTGATGGCAGCATCATAGAAAGACCTACAAAGCAGCAGCACACTGCCTAGCATCAGAAGGTGATTAATGTTTCTGTTGCTGATGGGATGAACTGGCTCAGCTGAGAGTTTTTCTGCTCTCCTCTAATAGCAATAGTAATATCCATGGTGCTGAAAACATTTCCAATACATGGTGTTTGTGGCCGATTTAAGTGCTCTAGTGAACGGCATGCACTGTTTTTTTCTTTGCATATTTCAGAAATATAAACACGACTCAATAAACCACTTGTTTAGATGTATATTTAAGTCATCTTCTAATGGAAAAATCTCTGAAATCTGGGGTTTTCAAACCTAAATGAGTCATTGGCCAGAGCCCATCTTGTAACAGCTTCTTCTCCCTTTGGAAGTTTCATCAAAATAGTAATTTGGTTTTTGCAGAACAACACAGCTCCAACCCGCCGCTGGGTTGTATTAGTTTTTTTGCTGCTGGAGCTCAGATTTCAGTGGAGCGATCTTAGTCTAAACCTGAAGAAATGTCACACTGAATGAGGCCACCAATAAATATGTAGCGTTTTTTTAACCGCACCGTATACAATTTTATACACACTTTAAAAACAGACTGAGTTTCCAGGGCAGCTGCCTTATTAAGATATCCAAATCCTTCACCTGTAGTTTCCATTAGAAAATTTGACATTTATTATTTGAAAATGGCATTTGAGCCTAAATATTGATCTGGGAATCCAAATGCAGGATCTGAATCTCTAATTAAGAACCAAGCTTGTCTCTCTCTCGTGTATTGATGAATATCCATGTTAAGATATAAAAGAAGTCCTTTCATCTTGTGGACCATACAAGATTAAAAACAGTAAATAAACTAAGGGCAAAGGCACATCTTGTAAAAATACACAGAGTGTGTGTGTGTGTGTGTGTGTGTGTGTGTGGTGTCAGCTTTAGAGGTGTGTGATCAAACAGTAGAACAGTTCATTAATAAATACCCCTCTACAAACTGTCTCCTATATACCCTTCCAGTCTACCACACAAATTATTTTAATACTAACAAGCAAACTAGAATATTAAGGCTAAGTGTAACCTTAGGAGCCCAGATGGAAAAATGTAATCTCGACAAGGGAATTTGCTCTAACAAGCACCTTTCCTTTTGGGAGCTATTTTCTCAGATTAAAAGTGACTTTTCTCTTGGTGACAGCCATACTCATTTCACTTCTCACTGGCTTGCTACAAGGGAAAACCAGACAAGCAAATATAGAGCAAATTGAATCTTAATTCTCTTTCTTTTTCATTACCCACTCCCACTGCATCCAATGGCAGAGAGAGCTTGGAAAGAAGGCCTGGAACTGTGGTTCTTGTAGTACACACCACAAAAAGCTTTCTTTGGTAGCTCCTGGCTCTATGTTACATTTTGAAGCGCGCACAGGTTTCTGCCTACTGTTTGCAATGTACTTCCTAATAGGATGCTCCAGGTTTGGGTTATAGACATCTGCACAACCTACAATACAATACTACTATTTCTAATTAGGTTCTGCCTCAAGCCAAGAACTAGATTGTTGTTCATTTTAGGCCTAACTGTATCCATCCAAATGAGGAAGAGAGAACAATGCTATCAGTCTTTGTTGTAGACTCAGTCCCTTCTTCACTCTGTTTAACTTGAAAAATAATACAGGCGAAGCAGATAGCTGTGACTGAAACACAGCAAATATATCTGCATTTCAGACAACTGTTTTTTGAAGTAAATTCAACAGCAAGGTGTAAGAAACAGAAACCTACATAAACAACAAAAGCTTTTCAGTAATTCTGATTAGCGTTCCCTTGTTTTAAGTTGACAAGAGATATCCATCTATGTCTGTTTATTTAATGGGAACCATTTTATCATCAACAACGTTTATTCAGTCTGCTGGAGAAATTCCTTCTCCCTCCCAATTTTCAAGTCATTTTAACAGTCAAGTGTTTGGTTTTTTTCTGCCATCAAGACATAAGGGTTAATTTCCGTCATTTCAAAATAAAACACTGCACCTTCTTTATGTCGAAGGGGGAGAATTGCTGGAAAAAAAAGATTAGTTTCCAGGATGAGACATTATATGCCAAGTTTCAAATTGAAAGAGTACATTTTTACTGCTGAGTTATAAACCTGTAAAAACGGGTTATAATGGAAATGCTGGCATAGGCTGCACTACTATAATATAACAGTGCATCATTAAATCACAAGTAATGGTGGGGTTGGGGGAGGGTGGGTGGAAACTGTGTGCAGAAGAAAGCTTAAGTCCAGTAATGACAACTTAAGGGGAAAATCCTTCCGGTCCCATTCCCAGGCCAAAGAGACCTAAAACTGCTGTAGTTGTGGCTCATGGGAAGAGAACGCCTTTTGGGGAGACAGCTCAGGGCTTAGATGCCCGACTGCCTTAGTGGATACACATCCCTATGGGTATGTATGATTTAGAAACGAGGGACCAGGGCATTTCTTGTGTATCTTATAAAGTTATCCAATACTTTACAGTTTTATAGATAAAGGACTAGAAGATTGGGGAGAGGGGAAGGCTCAAGCTTCTGAACGAGGGAATTTCTGCATCCCGACATGAGCATCTGCAGGAAGAGAGATGTATGTCTGTATACCATGCAGGCTACAACAAATCCCATCTATTATAAGCCTTAGCTTCTTCAGGTCAGTGTAATTTCATACCTGATATACAAGCTACAACATTTGTCCCTACGGCATTAAAAGAAACCTTTTCTAATGATAGCAAAACTGAAGCAGTACACAGCACACACAATGTATTTCAATCCTGCCACATGGAAGTGTGTGAGTTTTCTCTCTGACCACAATGAGAACAGAGCTGGACTCATAAAAAAAAAAAAAAAAAAAAAAAAAAAAAAAAAAAAAAAAAAAATCAGTGTAAAAGAAAAGTTAAAATAGCCAGTTAAAAATACTACCTCTTAGGCTTGAGAACTTTGTTACTGGGTAAAAAAAACCATGGGCTAATGCTTTACTTAGCTGAGACATGCTGCTGAAAGTAAAATTAAAACTTAGAGGTAATAGAGCAACTGAGCTTGGAAAGCCAAATTACTGTCCTCCTTTTCTTACTGCAAAAACAAGCAGTAACTTTGTTTAAATGGAATTTCTAAACCCACCAATCCAGCAGTATGAGATGGGTTGACTGATAAGTGGCTTTGAAGGGAATGTTTAGCCTACTTGACTGTACTCTGAACCGTGAGGTCCTCCAAAGAAGCTGACTCTGCTATTTGTGCATCAGTCCTGCACTAATTTACCCTCTTATACTTCGTAAAAATGTGCCTCTTGCATTTCGAGAGCCAAGTTACTGTGGTAAAAAGCAGTGGCTAATTCTTAAGAACCAGGACATGCTCAAACTCTGTGCAATGTGTTTTTCAATATGTTGCACATCCCATAAGCCCTGTTTTGACCTAGGAGCTGGCAAGCTTTAAACGTCTCCCATAAGGAGCTGTGTGCAAACTAGTGTCTGGGGATTTTGGGCTGGTTTAGAAACCCTTCCCTCTGAAAACAAGCAGCAATGGCTTAATCCCAGCTGTTCTTTCTGGAGTGGAAAGAGAACCAGACATGCTTTCACAGATCAGTTTAGGTACGGCTGAACAGGCACTTCTCTTTTAGCTTGCCCCTGTCTCAGGGTGGGACTACTGAATCGTTGTGTTTTCCCCCGAAACCAGTGTCTTTTCCAAATGGGCTGCTCCCGATGTATCAATCAATCACATACCCTCTTACCCTCTCATCTAAAGCCTGCTCCAGCCTCCCGCTCAGTGACCTATATAAAATCTTCCAGACCAGATAAAAGCCTTTTGCTACTGCCCCAAACCCACACAACCCACCAAAGCCACACTTCCCCATCTCTTGCAGTCCATGGAACCATGGCTTGTTTCCCAGGAAAATTCAGTAACATGTTGGCAACTACATACCTTGCAATTAAAAAGTCAGACTTCCCCCATATCACAGCACCACAGGTTTAATAAATGCATTAAACGTGGTTAATAGAATGTTACCAGGAGCCACGATGGGATGTACATTATTTATGGCTTGCAGCCCAGCAAATAATTCATACCGAATATAGCAAGCATACATTATTCGCAGTGGGTGAGCTGTCAATTCCAAAGTGAAGTGAGCTTTCATTTGGGA